CCTCTAAAAATGCAAAGATTCACAAAAAGATTTCCAACTCACATGCTCTAGCATTCCCTTTTATAACAGGCAGCCAATCAATGAAGCAAAGACCTAACTAAAGCTGATTGACTTAAATGACGTCTCCTTCTCTTACACTGGAAGCCTGCATATAGAGGTCACTTGACAGCATTTCCACAGTTTGCCTCAACCGTCTCATCACCTTTAGCCCCTGACTATACTTATGAACCAGTAAACACCTTAAAACTTTGATGACACAGAAATACGTTCTCAGTATCCAAAACTGCCCCTTGCCAGACAGTACATTACTTTTCTCCTTTCTGTAAGACAACCAATCACTATGGAAAATATTGCAAGTATCTGATCAGTTTTCAGAAACCTAAAGTATGTTCCTCTGACACTCCTGACCCCTTACAATGTGAACTCAATTTTTCATTCATCTAAGTGATTGCTCTTGGTTGTACTGCCTTTTAGAAGAATGTGGTGCATTCTCAGTTTTCTGAATGGATTGCTGGTGTCAGAATTAACTGAATTTCTTTCTCTCTTCCCAGCACTACCTTGTTCTAGGCTTGCTTTCATGTAACCAAAGACAAATGAAGTATACAGCTCATGTAAAAGGAATCACAGAAGAAAACATACTCTCCAGAGCTGTGCCACTGAGTATACCACACAGTAGAAATACAGCAGATTAAGATTTCCGTTTCAGGTGGTACTTACTCATGTAACTGCAGTTATCACGGGTTGGAAAACACGCACTGGCTTACAGACAGTGGAGCAGGCAGTTCATTTGGGGATGTACAATGTATTCTTCCATCAGCAGTATAAGATTTATTTATTTATTTTTTTAATTTGGCTTCTTCAAAGGAACATGGCACAATGCCCACTGGAACAAATGTAGGTATACTGTCTCTCCTGTCTCTGATTCACCCAGTTTCCAAATTCAGACCTTTCATCAATGAGAAAGAGTATTTCTGGTATCAACAGTAGATGGTACTATGCAATGTGAATAGTTTACTTTTAGTAAGCACGTTGCTGCCCCTGCTGACTAAATGGATTATGCTTCATATCCATAATTGCTGGTTTACAATTACCAGAATTCAACATTATGTAATGACTAATAAGTGCAATACACTTATTAGTCAAGCAAGCATTTATTCATAGAGCCTGAACAGGATCCTAGATATACTGGGAACCATCAGATAAATCAAGTAACTACCTGAACACCACAAGAAAACCATAGAATATGAAGATTAAGAGATATCCTTTGTGTGACAGTTGTTGCATATCTACATTTCTGCATTTTGCCCTCAGGCATTCCAAACAAGCAGTCTGAAAATCAGTTATACTTCTTTGATTCCTTAAGGAAAACGTGCCACTTGCTACTCAAACACTGGATAGAAAATAAAAAAAAGATGTGTTCACATTGTTTCAAACTGGGGTAGTAAGTAGACCACAATCCCAAACCAGGATTTCAGGAGCAGATGCCAGTTGAAAACCAACTAAGTGGAGAGTTCAAATCAGGGTTTACTAAGTGGAGGTAAGAGGTCTTCCATCAGCTACTTGCCAATACCACCATGTAGGGCTTATCAAAGAAAGTGGCAGGTCAGAGTGGAAAGCCACCTTGCTGATTTTCCATTGGTTTAATGTACCTCTGTATATGAGCTGAAGCAACTTCTTGGCTGTTCGAACTCATATCCAGGCCAGACTAGTGCTCTGTTTACCTCCTGATGCTCCCCAGGAACAGGACTTGGCTACTGTGGAAAACCGACCTTATAAACTCAACACCCCACCCCCCACCCCCCACCCCCGGTATAAATTGTTGTGTTTTCCAGCACAAAGTGGAATAAAACTATAGATTATTACAGACATATTCAAGAAGTATTCAGGACTAAGTGCTCCAATTTTTAAGCAGCCTGCTGTATAAAAATCATAACTAGTTTTGCAAAACCCCTTTCCAACTAGTCTTTTTAAAAAAGTTCATATAAACACTAGTGCTGTTAGCAGAGGCACTAATACAGAATCTAGGGAAGTACCTGCGTAAAGACAAACTCTGAATGCCAACGAGTTCTAGTAAGCCCTAATGCTACGCCACACTATCATGTCCCCTGTTCATGTCATATATTTTAGAAGTATTGAAGAAAATACTTAACATGGCTTCAAAACTTTTTTTTGTATACTTTAAATTCCTACCATTATTTAGGATCACATAAATTGGCAGGTATCACAGGTGAAAATACAACCTGAACTTTCAAACCAGATAAATAATGAGAATAACCATTTAGAAACTGCTTAAAATAATCTGAACAGATTTCATACAAACAAATCCAAGACACTAAAATGGAATATCCCAAGCACAGACACGGGCTGGACAGGGAATGATGAAGAGCAGCCCTGAAGAGAAGGACTTGGGGTATTGATTGATGAGAAGCTCAACATGAGCCAGCAGTCTGTGCTCGCAGCCCAGAAACCAACCATATCCTAGACTGCATCAAAAGGAGCGTGACCAGCAGGTCGAAGGAGGTGATCCTGCCCCTCTACTCTGCTCTCATGAGACCCCACCTGCAGTACTACATCTAGCTCTGAGGGAAACAAGATAAGAAGGAAGTGGACCTACTTGAGCAAGTCCAGAGGAGGCCACAAATATATAAAAGGGCTGGAGCAACTCTCCTATGAAGACAGGTTGGGAGAGTTAGGCTTGTTCAGCATGGAGAAGGCTCCATGGAGACCTTAGAGCAGCCTTCAAGTATCAAAATGGGGCCTACAAGAAATCTGGAGAGGGACTTTTTGTAAGGGCATGTAGTGACAGGACAAGGGGGAATGGTTTTAAACCAAAGGAGGGTAGATTTAGACTAGACATTAGGAGAAAACTCTTTACTATGAGGGTAGTGAGGCACTGGCACAGGTTGCCCAGAGAACTGTGGCTGCCCCATCCCTGGTAATGCTCAAAGGGCTTTGAGCAATCTGCTCTAGTGGAAGGTGTCACAGCTCATGGCAGGAAACAGATGACCTTTAAGGTCCCTTCCAACCTAAACCAGTCTATGATTCTACTAATATATTATGACATGATTGCCTTGTAATACTAAGGCCTTACTTCATGATCTGTAAGTTCACAAGACCAAGTTTCTCCAGCCCTAGGACTGGATTAATTCATGGGAAAAACATCCCGGGAAAGCTGGAAACATTTATTTCCCTAATTTCCTCTTTCTTTTTCTTTTCTTTTTTCTTTCACAGCTGTGCTCAGAAAGTTGGTTGTAAGTACTCTTAGGATAGAAAAGTTGAAAAATCTATACAAATTAACAAAACTAGATCTATGATATTATTAACATAAGTCATTTGGATCTATTCAAACACGCCAACATTTGGTAATGAGAAAGATCCCTCCGTATACTGAAATTGAATAGAATCTTAAAGGAGATACAAGTCAGTATTTTTTCACCCTATATCTCATTAGCACCATCCAACAAAGTACTACAAACACAAAAAAGTGACTAAGGTCTTATTGGTATAGTCATCAAAGTTCACAGAGAAAAAAGCTTTTGTAAAGTGTAAGCTTCTGTATGTTTTAAGTTGCCACAGTCAGCAATAGCTTGGTTGTAGGTATTTTGTGCTGTAATTCTTTGAAATTTGCAATTACAATAATAATCTGTTAGAAAATGCATGCAAAATATCATATAAAATACAAACAATAAATTACAAAGCAACCTCCATTCATTAAGAAACAATTAGAAAAACTTTCAGCAGAATTAACTTTATGCACACACAATTTTATCTGCATGTGCAGGCTGTTTAGAATGATTTAAGCATTTTAAAACTGAAATTAAAAAAGATATACATATTTAAAACAATAGCATTATATTAACTTTTAAAAATACCTTTGTTTCTAGTGATTGAATTAAGAAAATTAATTATAATGATACAAATACAGCACTATTTGAGATTATGTCAGCTTTTCAATTACTAACTCTTATTCTTACGACTATAACTCAACAGCAAAAAAGTACTATGTGTTGAAAACTGGCCGATGGTTTCTTGCACATGAAAAAAAAAAAGGCACATGAACGAGTGTAAAAGTTGTCCTAATGTTATAAATTATACACAATTTGAAATAGCTATTGTGTGAAAATTTTTTACTTCCTTCAAAGGAACTGGCTGCCCCCAGAGGAAACTGATTTGCTTCAGAATTTTACAGAATCAGTATCCTACCACACAGAAACATTTCATTTCAAGCAGGATTTGTGCTGGAGCATTCCACCTCAGACCTGCAAATATTATCTGATACAGTGCAAAGTAATGCAAAAGGTTCTGAAACACAGATTGACCCAATAAATTGCCAGTATTTCTGCTGCTCCATGAAGCACATTAAAGATAAGTATAAGGCACAAAGAACAAAATCCTGCAGTTGAGAGAACACTTGTAAGATGGAAACTTTTCTGAGGTAAAGTGACTATGGAGCTACACTATCCACTTTTTACAGCTTAGCAACTTAACCCACTAAAAAACCAGACTTGTGTCTGCATTCAGAAGCTGAGAATTTCTGTATTTCATACTATGCTAATTTTTGTTCATGATAGCCTAACACCACCCCAAAACTTTCTTCAACATTGAAGAATGGACACCACTAAGAGGAGCCTGATGAATGCAAGATGTGACCTACAGTAGCCTGCAGAGTACAGAAGATCTGGGCAGCACTGTGAGGGTACTGTAAGACATTGTGAGGATGCTGTACATCATCCAGTGGAAACTACCTGCATTCAACATGGTTTCAAGTCATTTCAACATTTCAAGTCAATGACAACTGCATACTTTGTTGCCATTTCCACGGTGTCAGCTTTCCTGCATGTGAAATAAGCACACAGATCTTTCCCGCCCTCGGAAGGGTACTGTGAATTACTACAACAAAATTTCCAAAGCACTTTGAGATCCCTGGATAAGGGTGCTGGGTGAGTGTGAAAGTTCTTTCCATATGCTTTTTTATCTTCAGAGTACAACTTGGATCTTACTTTGCTTCCAGTGCCAGTGCAATGATGCCTGCAGCCATAGGTGCAGAGGCTGAGGTTCCAGTATGGCTGTCTGTGCAACGCTGCCTCAGGTCTGTGGTGATCTGGAAGAAATTGAATGTGTGAAATTTAGAACACAGCTTTAGAAATCAGAACAGGTTTCATTTACTCGAATGAGCTGCATGTACATGGAGAGTATTTCCTTCTTTCATTGCAAGGAAAGAAAAAGAAAAAGAAAAGGTGTCTGAATACACGACATCACGCTCAGAGCCTGAAGTCAGTTGTGAACTCGGAGAAGTTCACAAGTTCCCTTGTTGCACTGAAAACGTAAGTTATTCTCCATTCTTTTCAAGGCATGATAAACAAAAAGACTTGCCATGCAGAGCGTTTTAAAACAGCACAATTAGACCTCTGCCCTTCTATTGCCTTTATAGAGCACTTTCCATCTAAGAATCTCAAAGTGCTTCACAAACAAGAATGAACTCCATCTTACAACACCCCCTATGTACAGACTGGTTACTCTCAGAGGCTATAGAGAGATACGGAGAGGTTAATTAGCTTGCCTGAAGTCACACTGGAACTATGTGACAGAACAGAATACCGTTAGGCTCATGCTAAGTACTGTGTTTAATCCTTCCTTCATGCCTTATGCAAAGATTCACATGAAATTAAGCAACAACTCACTGGAAAGTCCTGATGTAATCACAGATTTGACCTAGACATTACCAGCTAATTAGTTATTTGCAGCTTTAAATTGTTACATATTGCTGAAATACACGCTGCCTTATATTTTTATACATAATCTAAAGTGGATGTATAAACTGTGACCTGCAGTACCAACTAGAGACACAGTCTTCTACTTTGTGTTAGGATATCATAATGAATTTTAGGCAGATTCTGTCTGTAAGACACACAAAAAATGCGTTTATTCTAAATTCCACTTCTTTTGGGCCATCTAAAGAGATTATAATCTATGGTCTTCTTCCAGTAGTTGCTAGAAGAAGTAGCTGCTAGCAAAAGTAAGGCAGTAGAGACAGGAAGTCACTACTACCTAACAGAAGCTCAAGCAAAACCCATGCAGACTTGAGAAAAGTTACTAGCAGACAGCAGTCCACAGCATGGAAAACTCCATGAAGGCAGCAGAGTGAATGATGTGTGACACCAAACCTTACTATCAGCATTTCAGCTGATCTCTGAGATTCAGTCACTACAAGACACCTGCCTAGGGGGCAAGGAAGCTGCTTAAACAGCTTCCTACCTAAGCACCCAGAATTATTGTGTCTCCATTTCCTGTAATTCACTAGTATCACACTTCATTTGCAACACAGATAAGCAGAAAGATGGGCAAAGGAGAGATGAGAAGATCAAAACATCACAAAAAATCATAGGGCATGTAAAAATGTCTGTCCAGATTTTAAACTGGAAGATACCCAAAATATGATCTGAAGGAACAGCCACATCCTCTCTGGGCAGAATGCAAGCAATTGCATGCAGAAGGGTTATGTTTCATACATTTGCATTTGCCATATTCAGTAGTATATGTATTACATAATTTGTACAAGGCCGCTTAAAGTTCTTACGACATATAAGCATACACACGCTAACACAAAAGGCTTCTAATAGTGAAGGTGCTAACAGTACCAGGAAATTATTATTGAAAGCAAGTAGTGAGCAAGTGAAGCAAAAAGTTTTAAGAAACTGGAGGAGGGATTAAAGCATTTATAACATCATATCCTTACATTAGTGAACTTACTAAAAGTCAGATTTTTGAATAACGAAGTCCAGAAAGAACCTTTTTCCCCCTATTATTTCATATCCTTCATAAATGCACACCTTGTTAAATAATTTCTTTTATCTGTCATCAGCTAAAAGTTGAACCCCATAAATAAAATATTCGTGTAATGTCTTCTCTCCTAATGATTATATTAATTTAAACAATGAAAAGTAAGTGTTGGAAAAACCTTTATGCACACAAATCCCGTAAAAGTCCTTACAATATTAAGCAGTGAAACTGCATCGGGAACTGTCCTAACATGACATTGCCTTTATTGTAAATGCAAGTAGTGATTTTGCAGGTGGGACTAACATGTGCAAGGACTACAGGATGACATGCACCCAAATAGATAAAAGATTCAGGTATCCCATTTGTAAAAACACTGGTCAGTGCTGCGGCAAGAAGTAGAAGGGAGGTCAGGAAAAAGAGAGGGCAGGAAAAGGGACTAACACATGCTTGTCTCTTTTGTAGCCTAGTACCCTGTCCCTTGCAAAAAAAGTGGTGCAGCAGGCACTTTCCTCAGAGGACCACAGGTTAGCAAAGCCTATGGGAGCTCAGGCAGAAAGAACTGCCCTCAATAACAACTTTTTCTTAACAGACAGCCTCTCTCAGTACAGTGAAAAGCACACTGCATTATGCTATCCGTATCATTCATCCTCTGGAATACTATGCTTCCAGACTGTTTTTATTGTCCTGTAGCTACAGATATTAAGCACAACAAACCATGACAGCTCTTTATTTTGCAAGGTTGTCTCTCATATTCAGAGCAGATGTTGTGGCAGCAGTTTGAACTACAGACCCTTATCTCTCTCCCTCACTCAGCAAGTATTTCCGCAGAAAATGTGTAGG